TATATATATATATATATATATATATATATATATCATATATATAAAATATATAAAAAACTGACGTGGGTACTCAAATGAAAGGTCTCGATGAGAGGAATACCAGGATGAGCTTATATCTTAAAAAATGTCAATAGTTCACAAAATACAAGGTCATTTCTTAATTATGTAGATAAAATTACCTTGCACGCAATATCATCATATTTATCAAAATTAATTCCAGCAGTGACATTGGTTCCAAATATTTCCTCATCGTCCATGCTTCGCTCAGGCGGCACGTATGTAATGGGAGCTTTCTTCTCTTCACCATCGGGTCCCAGTCCATCGCTATCTCCACCATCATCACCCCCTTCGCCATCACGATCGCGGTTGCGGCCTCTGCCGCCGCCTCCAGTGTAGTCAGAGTCCTGGTTGAAATCTCCGCGGTCTCTTCCACCGTCTCTGTCGCCACCGCGGCCGCGACCTCGACCACGACCTCTTCCGCGTCCGCGACCTCGTCCTCGGCCACCCTCACCATCGTTATCGTTATTGTCGTTGGAGTAACCATTAGACCCAGAGTAGTTGTCATTAGAGGACAACCATTCACTGCCAGCAGTGTTGTCATTGTTTCCGCCGTTTATCCACTCGTCAGCGCCGTTGCTTCCATTTGTTTGCTCGGTGCCGTTGGTACCGGTACCCCAATCTCCTGAGCCGCCATTTGTCCCAGGATTTTTTGATTCTGATGAACCAAATCCTCGACCTCTGCCGTGACTTCTGCCCTCTGAGGAGTTCTAGAAATTTTTTTAATTCAATAAAAATGATAGCAATAATAAATTACATCTGAAATTTTTATTAATCAAGTTTTTTTCAATAATAATAGCAATAATAACAATAATAATAATGATTATTATTATTATAAATAAGTTTTTTAATTAGTAAAAAGATTTTTTTATAAAAAATTAATAAAAAAAATTTTTTTTTTTAATAACAATAATGATAATTATTATTAATTTGTTTTTTAATTAATAATAATAATAAAATTTTTTGTATTAAAAATTAAAGCTAAAATTTTTTTTATTAAAAAGTAACACTAAAAATTTTTTTTAATTTAATAATAATAAACAAAATCTAAAATTTCAATTAATTAAATTTTTTAATAATAGTAATAATAATGATAATTAATATAGTAATAATAAAATATTTTTTTTTTTTTCATAAAAAATTGAAACTAAAAATTTTATATCAATTTTAAAAATTTAAAAAAAAAAAAAACTTACGTTATTTCCTGATAGCCAGTCGCTCATGTTGAATTTTTGTTCCTAGATAGAATTCTGAAACAAAAATAAATTATTATTAAAATAATAAATAAATCTATAAATCAAATCAAGTGTCTAAGTTTATAGTTTAGAAAAAAAAAAAAATAAGTACATAATAATAAATAAAATAGACACTTTAAAATACATTAAATTGAAATAACAATAATAATAATAGTAATAAAAGTGTCGAAGGTTCTCGGAATTGAGAAACTGTAGTTACGTTAGACTTCGATCGGCATAACTTTAATACACAAAAAAAATATACTACAAACAAAAGATAAACCCTCTTACTCTACACAGTGCTCGTGCTTGAGAAAAAGAAAATAAAAAGATATTTTCTTATACAAACAATTATCTCGATATTTAATACATAATCTTCAATATGAATATGTATAAATTCTTTGTCTAATTTATTTTTAAGTATTTTTAATTGATTTAAATATTTGAATATTATATTTATAAAAAAAATCTAATTGATAAATTTTAATTTCAATAAAAAAAAGTTATTAAAATAATTAAATTGTTGTTTAAAAATTAAAAAGATTAAAAATGACATTTAAAAAGAATGTAAAATAATGATGATGATAATAATAATAGCGAAGAATTTTTTACAAATGACAAAGAAATCTAAAACAAAATGGCCGCTTTTAAGTAAAAAAGAAAATCTCGTGTTTGCTAAAAATTTTTGAACAAAATATTTGACGGTTTTAAAAGAAATTTAATTAATTTATTCACTTTTTAATAGTAATCATAATTAATTAATAATTAATAATCAAAGAATTAATATAAAAAAAAATAAAATAAAATTACGTACCAAGAATTTGCGTCAATTTAAACAAAACAGCTGATTATTAATAAATTTACTATTTAAATAATACTTGTTAAGGAATAAGAATAAATAATGAACTGTGAATATTATTTAATAATTAAATAATTTATAAATTGTTATAAAAATACTGTTGAGCAAATAACTGCGACGTGACTTCCGTGAAAGTGCCGGTAGGAATGATCTGTGCGGTTCGAGTAACGTGACAAGTGACTTCGGGACTCGAGTCGAGACAAAGGGCTCGTGCCGGCTTCTCGGGGGGTGAAATCTAACACCCACGACAGCCAATCAACAACCTTTCCGCGTTTTGTTGGTTCTAAAAGAAATGTAGAGGGAGTTTTAGTTTAAGCGCGGGAGATTAAAATTTTTTAAATAAAAAAATTACAATAATAATCACTTAATTACAGGAATAATTAATAAAAATTAATTTAGCAGACATTTAACAATTTTTCTAACAAATTAATTGTGGAAAAAAAAAAATTTCTAAATAGAAATTTTAAAAAATTAAAAATACAATTTTTTAACAGTAATTTTTTATGACACTGAAGTTTGCAGACGTCTAAAAATCTTTTTGATTCTTTTTATTAATTAAATTACAACTAAAAAGATATTTATAAAAAATTGCACTTATAGTTTTTCAAGTTTTGTACAAGTGAAATTTTTTTTCTTAATTGTTTAATTGAAATTTTTTCAATAAAAAAATTTTGAAATGTCGGCTAACTTGATTTTCATAATTTTTTAGAATTAATTTAATTGTTAAATAAAATTAAAAACTGCCCAAGTGACAGCTAACTTTAATGTAATTAATAATTATTAAAAATTACTTATTTCTCCCCCTCTACTCTTAAATGTAATCTATATTTGCCTCCCACTTAACTTGAATAGTAAGAAGCCGTCTCATAAAATATGATTCAGACTTTCAGACCCACTCAGTAGATCTTCGCGTAAACTTGTAATACCTATGTACAGTCTTTTAAAAATTGAAATTTAAAATTTATCAATAGATATATAATTTTTAATTTCAAGTTGCGGTATGATAAGGTGAATTAATTCTTATCGGTGAATTATTAATTTATTTTATTGCTGATGAGTCATTAAAAATTTTTGTCAGGTTTTTATTTTAATAAATTTTAAAAATAAATAATAAAATAACAATAATTAAACTTAAAATTATCATTATTATTATTAAATATTGTTTTTTTAATTTTTATTAATTTTTAAATAATAAAAATACTTAATAATAAATAAAAGAAAAATTTATCAAAACACAACTCTTGAATTAAAACGTGACTTTTAATAAAAAATGACTAATAATGTGTCATTATTATAACAGATAAAAAAAAAGATATATTTATTATTATTATTATTACTAATAAAAAATTTAATTTTCTTTTTTAGGAATGTATGGATGCATGAGAAATTGGGACACAAGCAACAATGGTACCCAAAACAGTACCACACTTGCTCCGCAGGCAAGCACCGCTCCAGCAGTCACAAATTTGACCGGCGCGATCACTGATGAACGTCTGGATGCCTCCAGTGACAGCGCGGTCAGCAGCATGGGCAGCGAAAGAGTTCCGTCTTTGTCCGACGGCGAGTGGATGGAGACCGGAAGCAATTCCAGCCACACGCAAGCCGATTCTCATTATTCTATGGATTACGCGAGGTAAATATTAAAGATTTTTCTTCGGAGGTAATCTTGGGGGCAAAATGGACCACAGGGTTGGATTGCTGAGGAAATTCTGAAGAGACTGAGTACCCACAAGTCTATGTTTGGCGACCCCGCGGAAACCCGCGAACTGATTTGCGGGTCACCACATATATTGTAATATAGGGTTGTGGGTACTCATTTTTCATAAAATTTCTCGTAGAATCTAAATCCGAAGACCTCGGAGTCGAAAAAAAATTCCCTGAAGATTAATTACTGTTTTTAATTACAGCAAGTACCGAATGCAGTATGAGTGTAACTACACAGTGAACGGCAGGACTGGCAATCGCTGTCCGGTGGATAGAATACCTCCGGTGGCGCAGAAGAAGCACCAGATGTTCGGTAAAAGATATCTTCAAGACCATGGGACCGGTAATTATTTTTTTATTTATTTAAAATTGAAAAATTTTATGAATTTTGTTAATTAAACTTTTTTTTCAGGGTCACCACTGGGTCACCATGGTCATGGGCCGCCTATTAAGTACGAATATGATCCTCAAGCAGTAGCTGCAGGTCCTGCTCATGCTTACAGTCCCTTAGATGGCGCTGCTGGGCCTGAAATGAAGTTTAGTTGCAGTGTAGACTTTGCGAGACAATGTAAGATTTCTTTTTTTGGCTTAAAATATTGGACCTAAAAAAAATTTCTCTTACAAATCTTTCTAAGATATTAAATTTTTAATGAAATTTTTCAGTGCACCATGTACCTGGAAGAACTGCTTTAGAGCATATTCATCACAACCACACGTATCATCTACCTCCGGACAGTTCGGGCGCCATGCGACCTCTAGCGAGGGACAAAAAAAGTAATTATTATTATTTTTTTTTTTATAGAAGAATATAAATTAACTAGCAGTCACTATGTGACTGCCGTAGTGATAAACTATAAATAAATAAAATTTTGCATTGTTAAATAATTATTTTTGTTAAATTACACTGTACTTTCTTAAATATTGACCTTTTTAAAGATATAAGCTCATTCTAGTGTTACACTCATCAAGAGCTTTCATTTGAGTACCTACATGCATTTTTGATATATTTTATATATATATATATATATAATATAATAAAATATATGAAAAATTGATGTGGGTAGTCAAATGAAAGGTCTCGATGAGTGTAACACCAAGATGAGCTTATATTTTTAAAAATGCCAATAGTTCACGAGATACAAGCTCATTTCTTAATTATGTACTTCATGGCCACAAAATTTTGCTTATTTTCTTTATAATATAAAGTATTAATAAATTTTTATTTTCAGTGCGCAAAAGCGAGTCAGAAGATCAACATTTGACGCGTGACGAAAAGAAAGCGCGACAACACAATGTCCCGATTTCGGTCCACGACATAATAAACCTACCAATGGACGAGTTCAACGAGCGAATGAGCAAGTACGACCTTAGTGAAACTCAAGTGAGTCTGATCCGGGATATAAGGCGCCGCGGAAAGAACAAAGTGGCAGCCCAGAACTGCCGCAAGAGGAAGCTCGACCAGATCATGACCCTCGCGGATCAGGTCAAGGAGATGAAGGACCGGAAAATGAGGTTGCTCAGTGATAGGGACTACATGCTGAGAGAGAGGCAGAGGGTCAAGGAAAAATTCGGGCAGCTTTACAGACACGTTTTCCAGGTGAGTTTTTTGGAATTAACTTCAGGGGGAACAAAGAGCCCGGAAAATTTCCTATCTAAAAACCTCCCTATAAGTGTCCAAATTACTCCACCCCAAAACCCACAATTTTAAAAAAAACTAAATTTTCTTTTCTTTTTTTTTTCAGTCTCTCCGAGATTCGGAAGGAAATCAGTACAATCATCAAGAGTACTCACTTCAACAAGCTGCGGATGGAAATTTCCACCTTGTCCGTAGGAACCAAGTACTTCAACAACATCACAATCACAATCACAATCACAATCACAATCACACGGGGCCCTATCCTCGGCAATCAATGGACCCAAAAACAAAACCAGACCCCGAGCGCAAAGAATAAAACTTTCTTTAAATTAAATTAAATATTTTTAAAGCTTAAAAAATTTTCTAATAATTAATTAATTGAGATCTCGGTGACGGTTAATCCGCAATTATATTATTAAAATTAATCGACACCAAATTTAAATTAATTATTTAATGTCTACTTAATGTACAGGTGTCTAATTATAAGAAAATTTATTAATTATTCTTATTATTTTTTTTTTTTCTAAAAAAAAAAAATTTTTTTTAATTCAGGCATTTAATTTTCGGAATTTTTTTTTATTTATTTTTTTTTATATGTAAATAGATTTTTTAATAATAATAATAATATTAATAATATTTAGCATGTAAGTTAGAATTTTATTAATCGATTAAATTTAATAAAGCAAATTAATTAATTAATTAATTAAATGCTATGCCTTTATTATATTTATACTTGAAAAAAAAATGTATTAAAATATTTAAAAATAATAATATTAAATTAAGGACAATTGGGTTAAAGTACTGTACTGTACTTTAAGATTAAAAATAATTATTACAATAATAAATGATTAATTATAAAGTAAGAAAAAATATAAATATATATGTCTTTCTTGATAATGAGGATAAATAAATGTTGAATATGTTTTATTTGATAATAAATGGATTAATAATTGATAATTAATTAAAAAAACTAAAAATGAAGTTTTATTTGATTTTTTTTTCCCAGATATTTTTTTTTTTTTTTTTTTTTAATATTTATTTTAATTTTTGAAAATCTGATTCAAAATTTCGCGCGCTATTTTTACCGACTGCCAATTTTTTATTTTTAGTTCATTATTTCACCACCAGAGACTAATTCCTAATTTCTATTACTATTATTATTATTATTATCATTGTCGGTGTTGTCAAAAAAGAAACAATAAAATTGTAGCGACAATTGTGAGTTTTTTTTTGACTTGTCATCGGTGTAAAATAAATTATTCATTATTACATACTTAATAAACGTTTTATAACAATAATAACACAATATTACAGTATTGACATGCGAGTTATTAATAATTATTTCATTACACAGTATTGAGTACAGCGATAAGAAATTTTTATACTTTTTATTTGTTTGTATTAAAATTTATTTGTTTTTTTTTTTTTCAAAATGAATTTCAATAGAATTTATAACAGTAAGTATTTAATCAATAATGATAATAATAACAATCCTTTTTTTTTTTTTAAAATAATTATTATTATTTTCAGATTCTCGAAGTGTCAGCAATAATTTAATTCGTAGTTTTTCTGTTGGAAAATGTGAAAATGCTGAAATTAAATCAAAACCTAAAACTGCTATTTTGATGTTAAATATGGGAGGACCAACTAAAGTTGAACAAGTTGGAGATTATTTGTTGAGAATTATGACTGATACAGATATGATGCAATTACCTATTCAAAGGTATATATTTATTTATTTATATATTATTATTAGTCAAAGCTATCTTCAATATTAATTAGTTAAGAGAATAAGCAAAATGATCTATCTCTAGATACATAATTAAGAAATGACCTTGTATCTTGTCAACTCCTGACATTTTTAAAGATATAAGCTCATCCTGATGTTATACTCATCGAGACCTTTCATTTGACTACCCACATCAATTTTTCATATATTTTATATATTTATATATATCATATATATGTATATATGAAAAATATATGAAAAATGCATGTGGGTACTCAAATGAAAGCTCTTGATGAGTGTAACATCGGGATGAGCTTATATCTTTGAAAATGTCAATAGTTCTCGAGATATAAGGTCATTTCTTAATTATATATCTAGAGATAGAGCTGCTTTATTAAATAATGACTTTTGTTAAATTGCACTGTACTTTTTTAAAGATATAAGCTCATCCCAATGTTACACTCATCAATAGCTTTCATTTGAGTACCCACATGCATTTTTCATATAATTTTCATATATTTATATATATCATATATATGTATATATGAAAAATATATGAAAAATGCATGTGGGTACTCAAATGAAAGCTCTTGATGAGTGTAACATTGGGATGAGCTTATATCTTTAAAAAATTTATTATTTAACAAAGTACAGTACAATTTAACAAGAATTATTATTTAATGAAGCTAAATTTTAATTTTTTATAGTTCACAAGTCACGGTAGTCACGTAGTTAGTTTTTAATAATAATACTATTTTAGTTTTTTTTAAAATTATTTTCTAACATTTCTTTTAAATACATTGAATAATCATAATAATAATATTTCAGTAAATTAGGACCCTGGATTGCAAAAAGAAGAACTCCAGAAGTAATGAAAAAATACAGTGAAATTGGCGGAGGCTCGCCAATTTTAAAATGGTCAAACTTGCAGGGAGAATTGATGACCAAGGAATTGGACAAAATTTCCCCAGAAACTGGCCCGCACAAACACTATGTCGCTTTTCGTTACGCCGATCCGCTGACTGATATAACTTTGCAGCAACTAGAAGCGTAAATAATAATAATTAGCATATTAATGTATTAATAAAATTTTTTAATTAAAATAATTAATTTTTAGGGACGGAATTGAGCACACAGTAATTTTTTCACAGTATCCGCAATACAGCTGCGCAACATCTGGCTCGAGTTTTAATGCAATTTGGAATTACTACAAAAATAGGTTCATTAATTTTTATTCACTGATAAAAAAGAAATCAAGTTAATTAAAAAAATTAAATTTTTAAATGAAAAAATTCATTTTAATTTTCAGGGGTTTGCCAAAAAATATGAAGCTAAGTATAATCGACCGATGGCCGACGCACCCACTTCTAGCCCGAACATTTGCCGAGAAAATAACCGAGCAATTGAATCAATTTGACGAAAAAGTCAAAAAAGATGTCCTAATTTTATTCTCTGCACACTCGATTCCTCTTAAAAATCTTAACAGAGGAGATCCTTACCCAAGTGAAGTAGCAGCTTCGGTTCATATGGTCATGCAGGAGTTGAATTATTCTAATCCTTATCATCTTGTTTGGCAATCAAAGGTTTTTTTTTTTAATTATTATTATACAATGAATTTTGATAAATTGCACTGTACTTTCTTAAATATTGACATTTTTAAAGAAATAAGCTCATCCTGGTGTAACACTCGTCAAGAGCTTTCATTTGAGTACCCACATGCATTTTTGATATATTTTTCATATATACATATATATATAATATCATTTTGGCACACCCGAATATATATATATATAAATATATAAAATATATGAAAAATTGATGTGGTCAGTCAAATGAAAAGTCTTGATGAGTGTAACATCAGGATGAGCTTATATCTTGAAAAATGTCAATAATTCACAAGATACAAGTTCATTTCTTACTAATATAGATAATGTTATTTTTTTTTTTTTAATATTGATTAAAATTTTAGGTAGGACCACTGCCATGGTTAGGCCCGTTCACCGACGAAGCAATAAAAGGCTACGTCAAGCAAGGCAAAAAGCACTTTATCATCGTCCCAATAGCCTTTGTAAATGAGCACATTGAAACTTTGCACGAGCTGGACATCGAATATTGCGACGAGCTCGCCCACGAGCTCAAAATTGATAAAATAAGACGCGCTGCTGCGCCCAATGACCATCCGCTGTTTATTAAAGCCCTCGCGGATATTGTCAAGACACATTTACACTCCAAAATTCCGGTTTCTAGGAAATTTGAAACCCGGTGTCCGCATTGTGTTAACAAAAATTGTTATTCCAGCAAAATTTGGTTTTCTGAAAATTGTCGGCTTTAGATAATTATTTTTTTTAAATTTAATTATACATTTTTGTGTTGGAAAAAATTTTTACACGGGAAAATTTTTATAATTTATGTATCAAAATAAATTATTATTGTTAAATAAATCAATAAATATTAAAATTAATAAATTAATTTAATAATATTATAATTATTAAATTAAATTAATTAATAAATAAATTTTTTTACATTCAAATTTTCAACTTTTCCCGCTTTGCTCAAAAAACTGCGCAGTAGTTTTTGCGCATACGCAGAACCTATTGCGCATGTGTAGAAGTTTTAAACGCATGCGCGGCCATTTTAGCGTCAGTTCTCCCTCAGAATTTCCCAGATCAGCTGTTCTTCGCGTAGCTCCGCTAAAAAATTAATAAAATAATTAAAATTTCTTTCTAATACCTATCGACAAGTGTCAAAGTTAATAAATAAATATAAATTAACAATAAAAACTACCAATGAGAGTAAAAAAAATGTCGAAAATGTCCGAAATATCAAAAATAATTATTTTTTACAAAAATAGTGTCATGCGGTCGCGCCTAGCGGCGAACATAGTAACTATCACCGTGGAATTCTAGCATTACAATCAGTATCAGTGGATGTGGACATTCATATCAGTGCGAGTGCTCAACCCGAACCCAGTTTGTCGGTTGACGTTCACGCGAGCTGTCAGCTGACGGGAAATTTCCGGATTGTTTGCGGTATTTTGTTTATTTTGTTTTTTAAATAATTGTTTTTAATTATTTAGACAGTTTTAATAATAATGATGATATTTTGATTACTTAGAAATGAAAAATCAGTGGGGGCAATAATAATAATAATAGTGATTATGTGCCGCGTTAAAATAAAAATGCAATGCGGTACATTATTTACTAATCCGAGTGGTAATTCTCCGTCAGTAATATTTTCATTGGCTGGTTTTTATTTTTTTTTCATCGCAAGTCTTTGGTGCTCGCTTTGCTGTGCTAATGGAATATTTCATGACATCAAGTGCAGTCATCAACATCCTAGACCACACGAGGTAAGTCATTTTGTTATTTTTTTTAATTTTGCGGGAAATTTAAATTTTTTTAGAGTTTTCCATTTAAAATTGGAGTATTTTTTTCAATTGTTAAAAATTAAATTTTAATAAATTATTTGTGACTAAAATTTTGCATAAGCTGAGGAAAGATTTTTAGATGATGATTAATTTAGCAGACATTTAATTTTAAGAAATTTTTTAACAATAAATTGTAGCAAAATAAATTTGACATGTAGAAAGTTAAAAAATTAAAAATGCAATTTTTTCAAACAAATTTGTTTGTTAAAAAAATAATTAAAAAATAGTTTTAGTTAAGAATATAGGATTAATATCTCCTAAAATATTGATCCTAAGAAAATTTTCATTACCAATTTTTTAAAAAATTTAATTTCCTACAATTTTTATTTAAAAAATTTTCTCTTAAGATCTGTATACTGATAGAAGGATTTGTTTATATTTAATAAGCTTTATTAATTGATTTAATAAATGATTTTTTAACATTAAGATTTAATAAATAGTTATTAACAATAAATTATTTATTAAATGATACTAAAGTTAGCCGACGTTTTTAATTATTTGATTTTTTTTTTTTAATAATAAAATTAATATAAAAAACTATTTTTAAAAAATATCACTTATAGTTTTTCAAGTTTTTTACAAGTGACATTTTTTTTTTAATTTTTTTATAATAATTTTTTCAATAAAATTAATAAATTAAATAATTGTCCAAATAATTAAGAGATATGGATCCTTTAATCACCTCTTAATAGCGAGATCAAAGATCTTACATTAGAAATCATAAAAAATTGCTATTATTTCTAGACTCTCGACTAAATTACCGCGCATTAATCAAAGATTAATCCAACTTATCACCGACTTTCTTTTCACGAGAGTCTAAATCTTAAATTTCACTAAAATTTCAGGGACTAAAGCTCAAATTTAACCGAAATTCTCATAAAATATTCACGATTTTATTTATTTATAAAATTATAGCGACAATAGGAGTGGAAGCACGTGAGTAAAGACAACACGTGCACCTAGAATGATTGTTCAAGCAAAACTTTCACCACGGCCGTGATAATAATACAATAAAAGTGTACTACGTGCGATGAAAGTAGTTTAAATATTCGTCATAGTCGATGTAATAATTTCGGTTTTGTTTTATTTTTAAATTATCGTGACACAATACCAGCTAAATATTCGTCGATGTTGTCTCCGATGAATATTTAGCGCACGTTTATGCTAAAAATTTGTCCAACTGAAATAAACTTCTGCGAATCATTAAAAATTCTTTTGGATTTTGAAAGCGACCTACTGAGAGAAGTTTTATGAATTAATTATTCTAGATTTTCTTTTATTTACAATAATTGAGTTTAATTTCTGAGCTAATAAGTTTAGAGGAAAATTTTTGAATAAAAATTGTAGGAAATTTAATTAATTAATTAATTTTTAACCTTTACAAAGAAATCTTTAAAAAAAAAAAATAAATCCACACGTTAATAATTTTTTCCTCAGTAAATATCGGTGTATTTTATCCATAGTACGTGCGCAATATTGTATGATAAAAACTAAAAAAAAATAACCAGGAGGAACAAAAACGAAATAAAAGAGGCGAAAAGAGCCGAAAAGAGCCCCAGGAGGTAGAACGTATAGTATACAGATCGTCTACGTCGACTGTTCGCCTCCTAAGGCATCTACGCAGAGCTTTTTTCTCTATAAAATATTTTTTCCCTTTTTTTTGTTAGCTTGCGGGGTTTTTTAGTTTTTATTGGCGGCAACAAAAAACAAAAAGCTTGTGATTTGAAAAAAAATTTCTTGCAAATTCATGAATTCATTGGCAAGTTTTTTGATCCGGCTCGAGGGACCACCAGGTACCAAATAAATCTCGGGATAAATTAATAAGGGAGTGGTAGATTGCTTCGCTAGTCGCCGTAGACAATGATTCATTTGATTCATCGAAAGATATCACGAGCAAAATACACAACACACGGTACTAAGTTTAGAAGAGAGAGAAGGATAGGTCGTCCCATTCCCACGTTTTGTTCTTCTATTTTTTTTTATTAACTTAAATATGAGCGAATTTTTTTCAGTTACAGAAAAATCATCGTAAAATCTATATTTTTTTCCGGTCAAATTTTGGAATTTTAGCAAAATTATAACAGCAGGCAGAATATTGTCTTTATTTTTTAAATCTTCGTGTAAAATCTACTAGATTGGATCATAAAAATATGTTAATATGCTTAAAAAAAACTAGAAAAAGAATTTTTTTTTTTATGGGAACTCCGCCAAATTGAAAGCGTCAGGTTCTCCGATATCATAACAGAGCGAGCGTGGAAATTAATCGAATAACTTTGGTTCTCTTTTTCTATTATATGCACGCGGTGGTACTATACTGTTGTATAACCGCGACAATTGAATGAAACGAACGCGAGGTAAATCGCGATAAGAGAGAGAAAAAGAGTGTAGTGGCGCAATGAAACGGTTGATCGACTAAAAAGAAAATAGCGTTAAAAAAGTACAATAGACACCAGTCCATCTTTTTTTATATTTTATTCTATTAGTGTCCCCTCGATCGACTTAATACTCGCTCGGTCTATTTATACACACTCCAATTCAATCACGCAAGATTTTAATAAAAGATTTTATTTTTATTCAGACTGTGAAGAGAAAATTTATATGTCAATCAGTACGTGAAGCCTTTTTTAATCTAAGATATTCATACAGTTGGATCTTATGTTAACTTATTACTTAATTGCTTTGTAATTTGTTCAGTAATTATGGGATTTCTCAATGGAATAATATTTTGTTTTTTTCGCTTCGAGGATTTTTTTCATTAATTTTATGCGTTATTTAAGAGAATTACTGAGAAGAGGCGTAAAAATAGAGATTTTTAAGAAACTACTGAAGGAAATTATAAGTTATTGGGATAAATTTATAGGAAATTTAATTTCCTATTGAAAAAGTGTCTGACTTTTCCGATAGGGCTCATAATTTTCTAAATATCTAGACTTTTTCAAAGAAAAGTACTATTTTTGAGCAATTTGTTATGAAAATTGAGATTTATAGGAAATTAATAGGAAAATTTTTTAATTTTTGGAGTGAAATTTATATGAAATTTAATTTCCTATCGGAAAAGTCTAAGAGTTTTTCTCTCGGACCAATATTTTCCGAGTTATAGCCACTTTTCAGGACAAAAATCTTAATTTAAGACAAAAAAAAGTTAAAATTTATTTTTTAATTATCCGGAAAGTTAAAAATTCAATTAACTGAATTAAAAAAAAAAAATAGTATCGGAAAAAATAAGTTTAATTTTATTTATTCATCAGGGTAAATTCTTTTGTCAGGAATACCGTGGGTAAACGAAAAAGTAATTGAAATTTTTCGAGTTTCGCAAACGTCAATTGTAAAAAACAGAGACTGCGGGTCTCTGCTCTGTTGTTTGCGCTTCGTTTTGTATTCCTATATGCCACTGATTGTATTGTCTACTATTTCAATATTTTTTTACCTTTTATTTTTTTAACTCCAGCCTTTTCTCTTTTCACCTCCTATTTTTTTACTCTAAATTTCATTATTTTTTTCTTTGATCCCCTCTAGCGTTACAATTATTCATTTTCGCACGAAAATTGTTGGAATAAAAATAAATTCGACTCTCCAAGGCAAATTATTAATTACAAATATTAAATTGATGAGTCAAAAAGGGTTTTAAAAAAAGGGCGCGAAAGTTGTATTAGATATTTTATTGAAAAATATTATTTTTATAGAATGCAGAATATAATAACAAGTTTGGCAAGCTACAAAGTAAAATCTTTGTTGTCGAAGATTGGTTTATGTCACCGAGAGACCTTGCCAACGAAATCCCATTCTATCCGAGTTAAACTACAAACAGAACAAGAAGAATTTATTCCGCTTTGTAAACTCGCTACTGCTATACTTTTATACTGCTCCAGTGAAAACTTGGATCTGCTAAGGACGTTTTATCCCGG